CATGGTATCACTGATATCGCATGGTCGGGTGGGCAGGGCCTGTCTATGGTTGTGTGCCTCGATGACGGATCTCTCATCTCGCGTCGCAGGAGGCCTCGGGACGGGGAGGTTGATGATGCTGCTGAGGGTAGTAGGGGAGTTGTAATGTCTGTGTGAAGGTACTTTCTTTCCTTAGGTTCGAGTCTACTACGACCAATGCGAGCAGTGGGGTCGGTCGGGGTGTCCCCGTCAGGTGGTGTACAGTACTTCACACAAACAGCTAAAGTGAGACACTCTCATTTGGAGGTCCTATTGAGGCGATTCGAGTAATAACAATGGGACTGGGTATAAAGCGGGCGATCATAGACGTGTATGAATGATCCTATGATTTTCAAGAGGGTTTTGAGGGCGGAGCGAAGCATAGACGGGATTTTGGTTTTTATGCATGTGTTTACAATATGAAATGGTTAAAGTTTTTCCGTTCCGGATTGCCGCTTCACAGAATCAGGTTGACTCTCATTGTTCAGATATCCCAAGTTGTTGGATGCTGTGGTGGAGGGTAGCACACCGAGTGTTATGGGAGCATCGGTGTTGGACGAGCTTCGACAGCGAGGCGCGTTAACGGGCGCTACACGTAATCGATAGGTCGCGGGTTCGATCCCTGGGTTAGGTATTTTTCCTGTTAGGTAATCGTACGGAGGAGGAGTGCGCGAAGATAGTGAATTACCTCGCCAAGCTGATGGGCAGTTGGGACGGCTCGAGGCTGGGCTCTTTGGTGGCTAGCGTGTTGGATGCTCTCACTGCTACTAACCAGAAGGTAGTGTCCTCCTATGGTGCTCTTATAGTGTTGTAGTAGCAAGGATGTTACTGGGCGTTGTAGACTGTACAAAGATATGATGTCTTTTTTGTACGCCTCTTTGAGTAGCCTCTTACTGCAAAAGCAAAATTACAATCAGAAACTATACTAGTGCTTCGATGATTAGAAGCTTCTAATGCATATGCGTAGAGCTTAAGATTTCATGCCTACCAACATCCAAGTTTTAGTAGTGTTGATAAGGTTCGAAAAATGTGTGGTGAGAGAATGATAAAGTCGACGGTCATTTGCGGACCTCATGCAAAATGTTATTTTTGCATGTAGTGTATTCTGTGTATGTGGTTTGATTTTTCTAGGTGTTTGCGAATCCGAGTGATGAGTTAGTGAAGGCATTGAATCATCTGAGCACCACCATCGGGTCTGAGGTCCTTACTGAGCAGAAGATAATGCCATGTGTGGGTCTACTGGAAATGTTCGACCAACAGCTTTGAGCGATTCTACTACTACTGTTACCATCACAACAACGTCATCCTGTTTCTATGAGGTGTTATACTACTGTAGGGTATATTACTTCTAGTACTACCACTCCTATGGGAAATTGTGTTCCAGTAACAGTCGCTGTAGGCAGTGGTGAAATATAGGTTTCCTTTCCTCAGCTGAGCTCGGAAGTAAGCATTCATTGCATAATGCAATGAATGGGAAGTGGACAACTAGTATAACACTACCTGGAGTTTGTGAAATAATAACCTTTCCTATTGAAGATCGCAAAGTATTCTAAGCCAGAAGCAGTTGTCTATGGCAAGAGCATGGTAGAGATGCTCAGGGATAGAAGTCGCTCGCTGATCGTTCATCATGAACGTCTTCCTAGACTGCAGTGTGGGGGGAAATACGCACATGGTCAACTACATGTGTTGGTGTTTGAGGAGAATTTGGGAAGCTGTTGTTGATTTCTGTATACTTCTACCCCTATTCGTATGTTGAGTACTATAATTTTTAAGGAAACGCCTGAGCTCAGCTGATGAAAGTGAACATATATTGCAATAGTGGTGCTATAGACTCAACGACAGGTTGCTTTTTGAGGAAACTCCTTTGGGAGGTCGCCACTGTATGAGCTTCTCGCTGAGATGTTGGGTTCGATGGTCATTACCATTTACTTTACTTTAAAATGGGTAGTGCCTCTGTAGTATTGCAGCTCAAATGTCCAATCGTCCTCCTATAGTGTGGAAGCGAACGGCACCGTTCCATCCTGATGTAGTAGAGGCAGACTTGGTTCATCAAGAACGGCTTGCTGTTGGTAGTATAATGGGGGGGAGGTAGCGTTTATGATACGAAGCTGTTGTAATGGGTAGACAATTCAGAATGGCAATATTTTCATGTCGGTTCTCGCCTTAGTCGAATCATAGAAGTTCGCGGGTTGTATTCTGAGAAATGCCCTATATGGTCTGTTCGATCCTCGCAGCTGTTTTCTGGTAGTATGAATTTTACTCGTCTGGGAGAAGCATTTGAGATTTTTGTTATGAAAACTCCTATTACGTCTTTGTTGTTGTTGTTGTTGTTGTTGTTGTTGTTGTTGTTGTTGTTGCTGTTGTTGTTGTTGTTGTTGTTGTTGTTGTTGTTGTTGTTGTTGTCGTTGTTGTTGTTGTTGTTGTAGGTATGTATGAGTATGACGAGGCCACTGGTCTTCGAGAGGGTGGGCTGATGATTTTGGACTCCACCAATGGTTCGGTTTTATCGGAGATCACTGGCACAGACTGCACGGGGGTATGTTAGTGGACCTCATTCGTATCTTTTATGATTCAACCTAAGATACTCGATGTGCGGTGGATTGGTTCGAAGTCTTTAGCGGCGTGTACGGCCGAAGGCGGGATCCAATTGTGAGAATCTTACTTGTGCATGCGTGCAAATTATTGTGGTCTGTGTGGAATCAGTTTTACCGTATCGGAGGATGGTAAGATGGTCGAGTGCAGTTCGACGATTCCCATGTTTACTGGCGAGGGCGCTAAGGGGGTGGCCATTGGCTTGGACGTCACTCAAGGTAGGACGCGTGTGAGCTTACTGTCCCGAACAGCGGTAATGAGGTTATACTGATGAGCATGTACTTCCTTAATTTACATTTTGAAGTGAATGCTCGCCGTAATGATCCTATGTGGCTGTAATTATTATAAACTTGTAGAATTTTCTAATCTGTTTTCGTGTCGTAGATCGTCGGATGAGAGTTTTTGTGTGGTAATGAAGTCTCGTATACAAATTGATATTAACGAGTGGTAGGCAGAGGTGTGGTACGTCACTCGTTGAAATTAAATATCGGACTGAACGATCAAGTGGCGAGTCGTGAATTGTGTGAGGCAGTATATGTGAATTTAGGAACTTTCTCTATCTGTTTTTATGTCATACTGATGTCAATACATGTCATACATACTTGTGTCCTGTTGGTCAATAGTTGTAGATTGGGTTAACTTCGGAGGGCGCAGGTTCAATACCAAAAAAGTGCCATGAGAATTTTTCCGAAAATCGATTGCGGACAGGTTCCATGCAATATAGTTATATAAGAGGGGCTTATATTCAAAATTTTAGCTTGATAATCGCTCTGTAGAATAAGTTACCTCTGCACACGTATAGTCGAGCTTTAGATGACGCGTACTGTATTTCGTGAGAAAAGCATTGGTACATCTCGTCATGTCTTCCCATCCGAATTTCCCTGTGTAGGCGGTCGTAGAGTAGCATCAATAGCGACAGGAGGTCAGGTAGCACTAGTAGACGGCTCGAAAGGGGAAGTAGTGCAGTGCTGGCAAGCACATGATGCCAAGATGGAGTCATGGACATGTAGGCTTCACCTGGGCATGCCTTGTAGTAGTTTCTCTGCATTAGGTTGTCTGTCACCTGATGGGACGCTGCTGGCCACTGGCGGTGATGATCGTCGTATGAAACTGTGGGATGTGAGAACACCAGCTACTGACGGGCCGGTGAGGGAATAGGGTTCGGATCGCTTGGTGTTAGTCTCGAAAAACAAGTCTAATTTTCTACATAGAGAGTTACTATCAATCTTGGCTGAATTCTGCTTTTTCGGTATAGATCGAACTTGAAGTAATATTATTTTCGGGTGTAGTTCATCATACCACACCTTCGTCAATTCCTGCCGTGATTAGGTGCTATCGGATCGGAGGGAGCATGAGGCTGGAATCACAGCATATTTGTTCGTACAGCACGGGCGAAGGATACTCACTGGCAGCTACGATGAAAACGTAAATTGGGATGCTTTTGCCGGGCTGTACAGGCTGATTCTATAGAGTAACTACGGAATCACGGAGTTATAGATTCTAGATCTGGAATCAGCGCCGTACATAGGGGTGGGCGAATTGGGCATGGACTCTCTTCCCGGGAGGGTCCATGGGCCCTTAGTCGCCACGTGATTACTCCTTGAGTAGAGACCGACGGTCACCGGTTTGCCCAGTGCCCCACAACAAGCTAAACTCAATAATCATAAACATATATATAACACCCATATCAATATCATTATATAGTAATATATATCATTTATACCATTATACGATAACCTGTAGATTTATATATTTACTTGTGTGTATTAATTATTATTTGTTATAGGATATCGTATAATAATAACCATGTTTTAATCACTAATAACGATATCATACCAATAATAAAGAATATATATAAATATTAATAATAAATTAGGAGATCGAGAACAGACAAGGGCACTGGTCAGTAGTATGATATTACATCATAACAGGAGTGTTTCTACTTGTACTGAATTTGCCATGATTCTTATTATCTCTCATCACTGAGGCCTGGAGCAGAATCCCGAAATGTGGTATGGTTGGTCGGCATTGGACGCAACACGCGGGAATGACGTTTGAAAAGCCCTAAATTTCATGCTGGAATAGTCTCGTCTCGGACACAGCGGAGCGAAGCGTTTCATGATGTGCATTATCACTATGTTCCACTATGCTCAGGTTCGTGTATGGGACTTGAGATTTGGTGTAGCAGACTCGGCGTGTGATGCTAGTGGTATGCAGTGTGTAGTGAGGCAAGCTGCGGTAAGTAGCATAAACAGTGTTGGAATATATATTCGCTCTCCTCAGCTGAGCTCGGGGGTCCACATATTCTTAGCATACATGATGTGCAGCTCATAATTCATCAACGAAGTCAAATATTATTTGACTTC